AACAACGAGAGAGCAAAGCAGGTTGTCACCGAGTCATCAACGCAACCGTCTCGATTGAGGCGTTATCACACGGAGAGTTTCTCCATATGTCGAGTCATAAACCCCACAAATAGCTCAGGGGGTTTGACTGCAAACAGTGTCCATTTCAGAGCTGCTGCAGAAATGTAATTTAGGGCTCTACAGCAGCTCTCGTATGTTCATAACGCAGTTTTAAGAGTAGACCACAATAATTAGGAAGACCTGAAAAACGAATTATTCTCCTCATTCTTCAATATCTGCCCAACATTAAAATCTTTAAGGCATCGTCTGTACAAACACAGATATGTCATAAAACAAACATTTTCAGAAGAGGCTGCACTCCTGGTAAATGGGAAAGGATTTTCTATTACGGAATGTTCTTTTCAAAAATGAATATTTTTTTATTAAAAAAGCAGAAACTAAACGTTTACTTAAAAAGCTTCTGCTCCATCAAGTACGCCTCTTTTAGGTTACATTTTTATGCACATTCAATTTTCATTTGTGTACAATTTGTGGCAACAATGGCTACATTTAGCCTGCTGTTTTATAACTTTGCAAAGTTGTTTTCTTTACTGCATCACATTCGCTGCATATGGTTCACCGCAAGAAACACAACATAGATAAAGATCACAAGTCAGAGTGGGTTGGCACAATAACCAACCCACTACAGTACAGCTGCCTTTTCCCCCACATTACTGAAAAATAAAAAACTAAAAACAAAAACAAACATGTACCTTAAGAATGATTGGTGTTCTAGACACGTTTATTGTACAAAACATGACTGTGAAACATCTACAACTATCTAGCTGTAGACAACATAAAGGAACCCACAATCGGGAAGTAAAGTTATGCATGGTTTTGCAAATAAAGATCTCAAACCTGTGGTCTGTATTGTGTAGCTTTAGTAATATTTCCCCCCCAAGATTTGAACATTTCACAATCTATCAAATTGATAATAGTTTTATTGCAGCTTTTCAACACTGTAAAGTTCTGTGTAACTTTTGTTTTGTGTAGAACAAAAGGTGGTTCTCCACAGTATGAACTCATTTGGGGACTAAATACAACACTTTTCGATTTTTAAGTGTAAAAACAAAATGAAAAGCCATGCTGTATATCTTTTTCTTTTATAGTTGACGACTGTTTAGTGTCGGCATGCTACATGAAATCCCACAAAATTACAATCTTGTTTAAAGATGTGAAAAGGTCTTACTTTTAAAAGCGACCGAAGATGATTAAACACAGATAACCACAACAGATGCAAAATACTTTTAGTGGCTTTGCAAATCAGCCAGTAAGTCAGCTGTCACAGTGCAGCCTAGATATTAGAGTGGTGAGTCGGTTTTACACCAAAGTAGATCTACTGCTGTTTGCACATTGATCACAGAGCTGGTGTGGGTGTGTGTGCACAACAGGGAGGTTTTTTTTTCTAAAAGCAAGATTAGTCTCATGTTCCTGTAACCAGATGGTCCAGTTAGACCGCAGAGATGCAGGTTTTGTTTAATGGCTCCTTCATCGTTGCTGAGCTGCGTGGTGCTGAATTTACCTATTTCCAGACATGAATCAGACACTGAGTGGGCGATTCTGATGAAGGTGTGAAGACTTGGCTGTCAAATGTCACGGGGAATGTGGAACTTATCGATGGCTCTATTGATCAGATGTTTACTTCCGATCTAAATGACACTCGCATGCATCACACTGCATCAACATGAGGACGACCAGACAAAAGCAGAGAGGGAATGCAAACAACATGTGCGCAGAGCATTTTCAGCAACAAGCAGGTTAGAGACGATTCAAACACACACACACACACACACCACTGACACGGCGCACAGCTGGAGGAACCCACTGCATCTCCACAGACAAACACGCCAGCTCTGACCTGACAATGGGACCGAGCTGCAGGATGTGCAGCAGCAGGATGAGGGGTCTGTCCCTGCTCAGGTCCCGGTGGATGAAGGTGAGGGTCAGCTGCACCAGGACGGACGGGACGAGCGTGAAGAGGAGGGTGAGTCCCTGCCAGATCTGGTCTCCGGCGGAGCGGTACGTGGTGCTGAGGTACAGCGCTGCCGTGGTCTCGGCCGTGAACAGAGACACCGACACAAAGATGGAGCTGGGGAAGCGCATCCTCACTCACTCCACTCCGCCATCCGGGGGGATGCGGCGCGCTGTTTCGCCCCGGGTCCTCGCGTCCATTACGGGAACCACCGAGCCGTGCGGACGGCGTCGAGCCACCATACGGGCACGCCGCCTCAGCAGCTGCTAATCAGCGAACTGAGGAGGGAGAGGCGTCCTCAGCCAAGGCTATTCCACAGAGTTGCGGCAGGGGTCGCTGTGTGACACCGAGGTTGATGCGATGACATGATGCAGCGATGTAGTCTGCTTTTTAACAACTCGAGGAAATTAATTGATTTTGGCAATTAGGTTTAAATAGTGAAGATGGTGTAGTAGACGCACTATTCAGAGTTATACTGACTTACAGAACTTGAAAACCAATAACCCAGATAATAATAATAATAAAAAAAATACATAAGACCAGTAAAAGAGCAGTTTTGTCGCAGACATATTTACTTTCTGATTAGTATGAGGCATGAAGGCATGATCAGCTGATGCTGAACCCCATCAGCATCTCTGTAATAGCGACCTTCAGCTCTTCTGAATCTTTGGATCTTGGTGTCTCTGCTCTTGCCAAAGGGAGCGTTCACACTGCTGCCTGAAGTGACTCAATTCCGATTTTTTGGCAATTCCGGTTTTTCTGCCGGGGCCGTTCACACTGCCAGTAAATGCGACCTGTATGCGTTCTGCATTGTAAACGGGCAAACGACCTGAAAGTGTCCCGCATGCGCAGTAGAGGGCGCAATAGCGTCAGCGTTCTCAGTGTTCTGTCAACTGCCATAAAAAGAAGTGCTCAGTGTTTGCGGAAGTAAACATGGAGGCTAACGGTGGAGCTTAGCTTACATATTTGAAGTTGTTGTCCGGCCGGAGCAGCATATTAATGACTTAATCCTCATATAATCCGTCATGGTTGTTGTTTTTCTTCCCACTTGCTCTTATCAGGACGCAGAATAGTGAGATTTGTTGAGAATCAGTGACGTTCAGTTCGGATGAATGAGACCTAACGTTAGGTCGCATTTGAATAGGATACATATCGGATATGGGTCACATTCGAAAAAGAATCCGACCTGTGCTGTTCACACTGCCATGAAAAGATCGGATACAGGTCACATTACGTCAAAAAAAATCGGAATTGAGTCACTTCAGGCTGCAGTGTAAACGCAAAGATTACCTGAGGTATACAGCTCTGGAAAAAATTTTAAGTTTCTCTAATTTTACTCTTTATATGTTTGAGTAAAATGAACATTGTTCTTTTATTCTATGAATTACTAACAACATGTCCCTTAATTTTGTTTGTGAATGTATGTAAATAAGCAGTTAGATTTAGAAAACCGCACCAATGAATATCTTCTCATGGGTCTTAGGGGGGCTAAGCACCCCTGAAGGTCAGATCCTAGAATCGGCCCTGGTCAGATCTGACTCTGTGAATATTTATCAGTAATAGCTTTATATCTTAGGCCCTCTGTGGAAGGTGTTAGTACTGATAAATTTAAAGGAAAAAACAAATCTTTTTTTAATATTCTCAGTCTTGCAACTCATACAGAATTCCTTCAACCAGAAAGCTACAAAAATAATTTCAAAGTTGAACATTTATGTGTGGTTTCTTCCATGCGGATCTGGGCTGTCTGTCTCTGAGGACAGTTTGATCTAATTTCCTTTGCAGTCTGAGGTCAGCTTAACACTAAACAGATTCAGGTTACACAAGTGCAGCTACATAGTAGCATAAATTATAAAAGGTGAATAAGAAAATATATTAATGAAACACAGCACCAAGAAATATAAACTGGACTGCAATAAAAAAAAGTAATTGAAATAAATTTAGGTCAGTAAATACAGTAATGAATGATATTAATAATTCAGGACATCCAAACATGTGTCAGGCATCTGGCAGGACAGATTTTATCAGAGACCTGCTTCCTTTAACTTTTAGATGCAATATACGAACAACATGGAGTAATTTGGTTTTATCCAATTAAAGCTGCAAGTGGACTTGGGGAAGCAGAAGAGAGAACAGAGAAAATAATGGATTCCAACTTTAATTAATCTGCCTTCTAGGTGTCAAATCTTTACAGAACGACTCATCCAGGTCTACAGATGCTTGAGACCGGTAGTATTAGTTATAAAATGATGCCTACAGTTTGATTACTAAATGTCTATATACTCAGAAATATTTGTTAATTGCTAAACAAGCATTTATGTTGCGAAAACCCCACAACCTAACCCTGAATTTTCCTTCTTCAGGACAATAAAGGTTGTTTCCATTCTGTCATCCAGTACAACCGATGGTTACCATGGAAACTAAACAGACCCATGGATCATGTTAAACGTCTTTGGCATGTTCACCTGCTGATATATATATAAAATATAAATATAATATAAATATTTTTACATAAGGTAAAGAAGTCTGCAAGCTGGAGAAATTATGCTGGAAGATATTTAAAAGTGTTGGTGGTTCGTATGGAGCATAATATGGTTTAACTTCACAGAAAAAAAAAAGAAAGAAACAATGAGTTTGCTTGAGATGAGCAAAATTATTCATATTCAACTTCAGTTTTAAAGAGCCATTCATATTTTTATTCAGTGAACATTACAGAAACGTATTTCGACAAAACCCAGCTTTTATACGCCTTAGCACATATACAGCATGTCATTGTGATCAAGATTATGTGTTGCCAGAATAAAGCAGAGCATCCGTCTCCTTTTGTTCATTTATTTTCTGATCTGGACACTTAACAATAATCCTGTAGATGTTTTGAACAGTTTGGACTGTAATTGCAACAACATTCACTCACTCATGTAGCTTAGAAATATGGAGCGACAGGCACATGTAGCGTCAGAAACTGCTTTGGTTTGCTGTTGTTTACAGGCCGTTTTTTTTTTTTTGAGCCACTTGTTCACACAGTAAATGCTGGCCAAAGCATCTTCCATTTGTATTTTAGACTTAATGATTTTTGTAAGGCCACATTATGACAATTAAAGGACATCAATTATTTACGGTTACACAGCTTGGAAAAAAGTCACTTCTGGAATTCATTATGAAGGAAAATAAGAAGAAAACCAGACTTTTGTTTTTGTTCTTTTCTCATCACAGAGTTACAGCCCAGAGCAGATTGTTTTCATTTTCCACAGGGTGAAACAAATTACAACGTCTTACAGTTTCAACACGGTGGCTAACAGAGCTGGAAACACCGAAAACAGGAGCCACACAGCTGAAACAGAACAAAGGGAAACTGTTACAACAATGAACAAATATTAATCTCAACATTTACCAGCTGTACCTCTAACATATATCAGTAACTCTGAAAGCTTGGTGTCATTGAACCACGTTTTTATTCTTTAAATATTTAAGGTTTTGACAACAGCAAATTGAGAGATTATGTCCCTAAAGACTTAAATTAACTGCATTTTGTGATGCTTAGCTGGTGTAAACTTCAAAGGCATTATGTGACTCATGTTTTTTTTTTTTTTTTATATTTGAGCGTTTGCATGACTTAGTTGTGATTTCATTTACTTTAGGCTGTCGATAGTGCACATGTTTATCTCTGTCCTGAGATTAAGGGTACACACACTTTAATTTTTTCTTTTCCTTTTTAGTTAGAACTCTGAATGGGGTTTTGAAAGATAACTACAAGAGAAAATAATAATTATTAAAAATGTTATTGGAGTTTTTGAGTTGTTTTCAGCTGAGTAGTTTATTAGTAGCCTAGCTAGTGATGCCATTGTAGCGGCTAGCCATTTACCAGCAATTTTACTCAAGCAGGAGCAACGGAAATGTTTTATCACTGACAGAGACGCCTTAGGAATAAAAACAAATACCAACAGCTGAGACTGAATCTCTGTTTGTTGTTTCTGTCTTTGCACAGACGTGTGTTAGCACTGCAGCAGAGTCAGCCACTAGCTACCACTTGTTCCTTTAGCAAAATGTACATGCTGCCAGTGTTTACGGATTGATTTGTTTGTTGACTCATGTAAATATGTTTAATAAGATATTTTGCTGCTATATATTTTTTCAGAACATTTGAACTATATTTATTTGCAGATTGAGTAATTTGTTTTCTTTTATGCACGTTAGCTGCTGTTATTTTTAATGCTGAAGCAAATTTGAGGAGATTCTATTAGACTCTGTAGATAAGGGAAATCCAAAGGAGACTTATAAATACATATCTCAGGTTCAAGAGGCTGTGAGCCCTTGTTTTTGCTGACTAAACTGAAACTTAAAACGTTACTGGTGATTCTGATAAAGCCTGCAAGATGTACGTCCACACAAAACAAAAACTTTCTCTTCCACTGCATCAGATTTTTTATTCCATCTGAAACCCACTCACATATTGTCCTGGTTTTACAGTGTATGTTACTCCATCTATTGTAAAAACTATAACATCTGTTCTGGTCAGGAAACAGCGCTACGCCGGATCCGTTCACACAAACACGCTGAACAGAGGGAACTCTGACTGGTCTGGTTGCAGGAGGTCGACCAGGAAGCAAACGGTCCCGGAAAGGCCCTCGAACAGGCTGCAGACGCTGGTGACCGAGAGAGAGCCCGCCTTGAACTCCTCGGTGAAGATAAACTCTGCGAACCTGTGGGATGAAGAGAAGAACACAGAAAGAGATGGATGATGTAATATAAGTGTCTTTCAGATTTACTTTACCAGGGAAAACAAACACAAGAACATTTGTTTCTTAGTAAATATATATTCTAAATGATCCTACTGACATGAAATGTAAACCTGAATGCCAAGTAGTCCACACATACAAAGAAAAATGGGACAAATTAGTTTAAATACTATAGTGGAGGAAGTACAAGTGAATAAAAGGAGATGCAAAAAGTCATAGAAAGCCAAGAGAATCAATGAAATCTATTTTTAGAAAGTGATCCTGCTGCCTATTAGTGCAAATCAGCTGGTGTGTTTTAACAGATGACCTACAAAAAAGTTTCTACTCTTCAGGAATAACACAAAACATATCAGTATGGCTACATATAAAAATCTATTTCAATACCTTTGCAAACCATGTCTACGGCATTGGCTACAGAAATACTTGGTAAACTCTGAGTGTTGCAGAGTGAAATATTAAAGCCAGAATCCAGAAGTGTTCTTCTGTTAAATGTAATATTTTCTGACAGAGGAATCAGCCAAGTTGTCCATCACCTGAGGTCAGGCAACCTCAGACAAATCTCAAATTAGAATTGGTTAATAATTAATATGCTCCACCACAATAACCTCCAGGACTCTGCTGCTGAAGAAAAAACAAGATTATGAAGGAATACAGGAAATGTTTTGGCGTGGTCATTAAAATGAAGTTATTGTGCTCATCTCCAGCCATCATTGAGTGCTAAATTGGCCAATAAAATGAAATTTACTAAGAAAATGTATTTAATTCTCATTTTTATAAACTACCACTGATCCATTATTGTCTTTATAGCAAGCAGTTTTAACTTGTCTGAACACATAAAAAATCTTATGCAAATGTAAAGATCTATTTATTAGTTTTTTATATTTAAGCATTCCTGTTATTTTTTATAGATTTCAAGAATCTCTAAAGCTTCCATATTAAACTGATTTGTCTAAGATGACGAGATTACTCCTATAATTAGACACCAGTATGATGAACATGTGTGACACAACAGCTTTTCGTGCACAGAAAATGGGGATCTAGACCAAATATTCATTTTGAGTTTAACACAAAAAACAGCATTAGAAATGTTAACATCCTGAAAGCTAAATTATCAATTAATTAGCAAGTAGGCTGGTAAAATTAGGCTTAAAATATTGTTACAGATAGGGTTTTTAAAGTGACGTTATACAACCTCACAAAACCTCTTAGAAAGTAGATTATTGGTTCAAAATGTACACAAAGTCAACAACAGTAGTTTATAGAGTTATCTGCCTTAGGAAACACATCATTGGCTTGTTCTGATATGCATTTAATTTTCTGTACATTGGAGATTTACATATAATTATGTGTTTTTAAAAACTTCAGCTCATCAATCTGTATTGTGAAAACTAAAACGAAAGTCAGGAATAAAAAAAAGTTGAGCCATTTTATACTCTGAGCTGATATGTGGTGCAATCAGTTCCCAACATATTGGGGAAATAAATTTTACTGACAACGTGGGACACGACTCATGAATTTCTGATATTGAAGACGGCTTGTGGCCTGTAGACTTCACACCGGTGGGAAAGAGGAGAAATGATTGCTTGCCTTTGGGCACGGTAGAGGTATTTGGAATTGCCTGTGAGGCGATAAAGCAGGAGAAAGACATAAGCGCTGCCTGCAACCCCGTGACAAATGCCAGGTCCTTTCTTCAGCAGGCCTTTCTCCCAGACGAGCTCCCCACTGCGGATACACGTGTCCAGATACTGCGGCTTCTTATTGATCAGATAGGCTTTTGCGAAAAGATACGCCACGCCTGCAGGATGAAATGGAAACATTAAAGTAAGAGGGAACGTGATACGGGGCGTCAGTAGCCGTGGTTGTACCTGGGGCGCCGTGGCACCAGTGCACCAGCTCGTTTTCCCTCTCGATGATTGCTCCCAGCTCTGCCGGCCAGTTGCAGTTCTGCTCCTGAGTCATGAGGAAGTCGACGCTCTGCCACACCAGGTCCTTCTCTGCCCCGCTGAGGACGTCCTGGTAGCTGAGCAGCATCTGCAGCACCGAAGAGAGGCCGTGGGCCGCACCTGACAGGACGCAGGGCGAGGAGCGGGTCAAAAAACACGCGGCAAACAAAACCAGCCATGCAGGCCGACACCATGCCAGGCAAACAAACAGGCACGACCCCGAAAGATGCGAGCAAAAACAGACTGCCTGGAGACTTCCTTTTGCCTCTTGTGGTTCACTGACCTTGCTCTGCCAGGCTGCAAAGAAAGAACTTTGAATAGTGAAACACGTCTGGCTTTGACATCAAAAACAGGAGGCACCACATACAAACTGACTGAAGGTGGAAAGAACCAGAGTACTGAAATGGTCAGTTAGTAAAGAGAGAGTACTTAACACAACAGCTTCAGTAGACAAAGTGTATTTGTTTGATATTTCAAGTTTGTATTCAGAATCAATTATACAATTAAGGCCAGAATTATTTATAAATATGGTGGTGGATTTTTTTTTTCTCAAAAATGAGCTTTTTTCAAACAGTAGTTTGGCAGGAAAGAGGGTGAAGACAGAAGGAGGAAACATGCAGCAAATGCTCTGTCTTGTCTAACAAAAACATTTTCATTGTGACTCCAAATGGTCTCTAAAGCAGTTTAATGGACAAATTTACCACATTGTTTAGCAAATACACACATATAATTGACCAAAGTTATATAGCTGTAATAGCGTTTATTTTCAGTATAGATCAGCCATACTTTTCCTTACTCATTTTTTTTTTCTTTGATCAACAGTGACGTATAAAAAATCAAATATTGCTGACCTACAAACTGCGGCAACCCTCTGACCCAAAACAGATTATTTCCTCCCCACGCTAAATCAGAACAGACCGGTGAGAAGAGGAGCTAATTCATGTGAATCCCAAACTCATCAATTCCACTAAATGCATGCAGGGCAGCCACAGCTCTCTGCTACATGTCAGACTCTACAATTTTCTTTCATATCTGAATATTCACAGGAAACAGTGAGCAAATGTTTTAGGGCAGGCAAAGTTTAACTCATGCAGATCTTTAAAAGTGTCATTAATTAAACTCTCTGAGAGAGTCAACTTTATTTTTTTTTTTAACTCCGTTATCTCCCATCAGTGCTGAAACCATGCAGAGGTGACCAGCAGGGCTATGCTTACTATGAACTCTGTGCTGGTCTGAAAGTTACTGAGGATCTCCAGCCCTGATGCTTCGCTTCATCCGATGCAGTCAAGAAAAGCACAGTTAGCTTCGTACATGTTAGCACAACAGCTCTGGAGCCAGAGAGAGACATGTCATGTGTAAAAAAGATAGGCCACCCTTTTTATGACATGCTTGGATATTGGATAACTTCATTTGTTGATCAGAAAAGGACTAGAGATGTACAGCCTCCATAGAAAATATTTGCTCTCTGGGGAAAACATGAAGACAAAAGAGAAGAACGTAGAAAAAAATTTTGTTTTTTTGATAGATGAATCAAAAAAGTTATTATTTGGACACCAACACCAGACGACATGTAACCAAATGCACCAGGAAAACAATGTTGTTCCAAGCTATGGAGCATGGAAGAGTCATGGTTTGGTGATGCATTGACCATCATACAATCTGCCATTGATTGAGAAGAATGTGAGACTGTATATAAAAAAAATAAATAAAACTGTACCAGAACTGGACCCTGCAGCTTACAATGACCCAAACCATACCAGTAAAACCAAACACTGGTTGAGAAATCAGTTATCAGGACTGTGTGAACCTTGACACAGTCCCAATTGATTAAACAATTAGGACTGTGCAAAGGTTTTACTGTTCCGGTAGTGATCCTGATAAGTAGATCATCTGATCATATAACTGCAAGAAACCCTGATGACTTTGGAGGAACCATATAAAGAAATGAGGGGTGATTTGAGACTTTTGCACAGCGCTGTTAAATATATTCTTACCAAGATATTCTGTTCCGTAGTATGAATACATCAGAGGGAAAGGCTTCCTCTTCCTCCTGGCGTATTGTTTTCCTGACTCGATGATGGCTCGGCAAATAGATTTGATCTGATCTTTGCTCAGAATCTGTAAAATGAAAAACACTCGCGTTATCTGCATAACAAAGACATATTTGATAATTTACAGGATTAATCTGTAGTCAAAATCTGTAAAAGGACTAGAAATGTTTTTGTTTTTTTTTTCTTTCTGCTAGCAAACCACAGAATGCAATGTGACTTTCTGTGGCACAAGAGTGATTAATAAGACAAACTGAAGTGAAATTGGTCTGGGAGAGATGTGCCATTACTGACTCACAGTTTCCTGCTAAGACCAGAAACAAGAAGAGAGTCTGAGGTCACCTGAGGTAGCAAACTGTCAAGGATGTCAAAGATATACTGTGTCCTGTCGAGTCAGGCTGGAGGGGGAGCGAAAGAGGTGACACGGCCTCTTCCTCGTCTCTCTGTCCACACGTTTGCTTTTCTCTTGTTGGGAACTTTGGTGTGATGATGTGAAAATGTCACACAAAAAGGAACAACTGTGATACAGGCTATTATGAACTGCTGTCTGTTTTATACTAATGCAGTCACTCTACAAATGAGACAAGTGCGGATACACTGATGTCACAAAGTGCTTTATGGACTCATCTTTAAGCTTAAACTTGAGTATTTTGGTTTTTAGTAATTTACTTGTTTAAAAACTGAAAATCACAACCAAGAGACTGCATCTAGAAGGATCCCCAGATTGTATGACGGCGATTAATTACAGCTTTATTTTACTCTAGAAGGCAGCTGTCAGGGTCTGCGTTTTTGTTT